GGGCGCCTCTGTCGCGGGGGGGGGACCGAGGAGGCTTCCGGCCGAGGCCGCGTCCTTCTTTGCAGCCGGTGCCCTGGGGCGGCCCACCCAAGGCCTGGCCCCGAGGTGCCAGGGCCTGGAATTCCTGGGAGCCCAGGGCAGGGCGAGGACAGCAGGTGGGAAGGATGGTCATGGTTTTAACTACTATGCAAAACAAAAAAAAGCAAAGCGCTTGCTCGCCTTACTTGCGCGGCACATCTGGGCCTCTGCTGCACTTGGGTTCCTCCCCCAGGAGGAAAGCCGAGCGCTCATCCGTTCGGGATCCCTGGCCCGGCCCCGGGACCGGTTCGGTTCTGCTTTTTGGAAGACCCTCTCCGGCCTCGCGCGGCCAGAAGGCTGCGTTTCTCTGCTGCTCCCCCGAGTGTCGGGCGTGTGGTTCCTGGGCTCGGGGGCTCCGGGTGATGAGGAGGGAAGCCATGGGGTGCAGCAGGCAGGGAGCCCCCACACCGGGAGCCTGACGCCCGAGATGCCGTTCATTTTTCCGTTTCATTGATGCTAAGTATTACATGGGGACAAGAGGTGCAAGCGCCACATAGGAGAGTTCGGCGCGCTACCCCAAACACGCAGCCCTACTGAAAAGGGAAGCGAGGCCCCTGCTCCCGCCCCCAGACCCCCCGCTCATGTTCGGTGGCTGCAATGCGTGTGTTGGGACCCGCTTGCCAATTAATCGCTTGGGCTTTTGTGGGTGGCTGGCTTGTGATGTGAACTGTGGCAGGGCTGGGGTCGGTTGGGAAGACCCCCTGTCCACAACGAACGCCAGCTAGCAGTTCCCCTCCAGCTGAGCACCGTTCTGCACTCGGCCTGGTGTTGAGACTCGCCTGAGGAGCCACGCGGCTTCGGTCCCGCGCAAGCGGCCGCTGCGCCAAGAGGGGCCCTCCGGAGACGGGCTGCCTAGAGCACTTTTCCCCACGACACAGGGAGCTTGTTGCAATCAGACACTATTTTGCAGGGTGGGGGGGGTGATTCTTGTTCCAAAGTGCTTTTCCTCCACAAGTTTTCTAGCCAAAGTTGCATTCCTTTGTCTTCTTTCATCCTTTGGGGAGTAGGTTAAACACGAAGCGCCCACTACTGCTTCTTTTATTTCTTTAAGGGTTGATTCTCGGTCCTTTCCTAAAAGTATGCCTTGGGGTCACGGAGCCAGGGTTTAATTGTGGCTGCTATAGTTGGTGGCTTTGCGGAAGATGAGCAGTATGCCTCCCCGAGCCAGACGCCTCCGAGTGCCCTTGAACATCTGTCAGATTTCACAGTTGTTTAGCTGCCAGGCGGTGGAGAATTTGCTCTTCCGTCGCCGCAGAATTGGGCAGCTTATGAATCTCTTGTTTCCTTGCTGCTCGGTCGTGTGTTGTATTATTTTATTTTTGAGCGCAGAAGCATGGTTTGGTGTTGACGCTTTTAATGACTAGCATGTGAATACGGGTTTGAGGGGGTGGGCATGGTCAAGGGCTGGTTCTCGCTGGGGGCAACCGGGTGAGGAAGGCACTGCCACTTGGCGTAGGGCACTCAAGGACAGTCTGTCTCTTGGCTGGAATTAGATGGCCCCTGCGCCACTCTCCACCGGGGGTCCCAAAAACTCAAGATGCCGGCTGCACAATCACGTCCCCTCTCCTCCTTCACGTGCACGGGGCGGGGAATTTCACTCCGCGGCCTCCATCTTGACTTTTTCGACCCCCGTGGATGGCCTGGGCACTTGTCGCGTAGAAGAAGCTGCATTTCTTTTGTAGGTGTCAAAGGGAGGTGGGAAAGATTTGCATAAGAATAAAGTTAGGATGATACGGTGTAGTAATGGTGAAGGTGGTGATCGTCAATATTGTATGCGGCCTGTAGTTAGGGTCTTGTCTTCACTGTTTGGAGACTGGGGGGGTGGGTGTCCCAAGTGCAAGATTCAAGGGTGAACGGGGCAGGCACGTAATTGCGGTTGGCAGCGTCCGGCGCGGCTTCGTTTGGCTGCACTGACCCAGTGGGCAGGGAGGCACTGCCTTGAAGGCGGGCGTCCGGAGCGATGCCAAGCGCATCAGGAAAAGCAGCGGTGGGGCTGCTGGGCGTACTTTGACGACCACCTTTTCCCCCTTCCGTAAGGCTGTAAATACTTTGTTTTGTATTCCTAAGGCCGTGTCCGAGCGACACTTTTTAAAGACTTACCAATCTTGTTTCCTCATGGGTTTTTAAAGGGGGGTGGAAGCTAACAGTTTTTCTTTGCTTGTTAGTAGGGTGATGGCGATCTGTCAAATTCCTAAGCAAACTGGGTTTGTACAAAACGCGGAGAGAGCCTTCTGCGTACTTCATGAATGCATGTTGTTTAAAAAGAGAAAAAAAAAAGAATAAAATGTCCAAAGAAACCATACCTTGTTCCCAGGACTTTATAATTTAATCTCAGTCCAAACAATGGCGAGGAAGCCGTCCTGTTTCTGAAGTTTAAGCCCCTGTGAAATGCCCTGATGAGCTCAGAGATTCGTTCCTCAAAGTCAGCATCGCGCTTTTCTTACTGGGGAGCACGTGGGGGAAATGACTTAAGACGCAGAGACACCATGCCAGGGGCGCGTCCCAGAAGTCCCCCCGCCTGGGTTCCTCCCAGCGTCTCTGGGACGAAGCCGAGATAACAATCCGGGATTCCAGCGTGACTCTCTTGCGTGTCTTCCGAACAGGCCCGGCGGTCCTGGGGAGTCCCTTAAAACAAGCTCAGCCTGGTCCCGTAGCGGGAGGGTGGTTCTGAACGGAAGCAACGGTTTTCTTTTCCCCCCACTTAGAAGCAGCACAGCTTCTGGGCATCGCCACCAGGCTGGGCTTCGCTTCCTCACTGGCACGAGCGGGCAGGAGGCTGGTAAGCCGCCTGAGCCGGAAACCCTTTCTGGACGTTCGCCGAGCCACTTAAGAACAAAACCGTGTTTATCGTTTTAAAACAGGCCCACGGACTGCCGCGACCTCATTCGGAGCCATGTGCAGAGTCCACCCTCGGGGGGGGGGCGTGAATCGGGGGGGAGAAGGCTGATTTAGAGCAATAGCTGTCACCCCAAACCTCATTCCTCTTTCTTGGGGTTGCCCAAGTGTTTGATAAAAGCTGACTCTTGGAATGGAGATGTTTACTGTGTTTGTGCAAACTGTACTTTGTATTCTGTATATTAGCCTATTTTCTGGGGGGGTGTAACCACGTACTTGTGCTCTTGCCAGAAGCGTTTCTTAAGCTTGCTCCCAAAGGGGTGTGCGCGCGCGTGTGTGGTTTTTCCCTCTCTTCGCAGACAGTGCCTCTGTATTTCAGAGGCGCAGAGGGCTAGGGGCACGAGCTTTCGACAGGGCACGGAGAAGTTGTCGGGAGCCTCGGACGCTGGGCCCTTCCAGGGGGTCGCTTCCACCCGCCCACCAGTGCCAAACCTTCCATACATGTTGAGCCAACCTGTTCTCCTCCTCCTCCTCCTCCCCCCGCCACGACGCATGACACGCTGGCTCCCTTTTCCACGTTGGGCTAGTTGTCCCCTCCTGTGGTCCTGTCTTGGAGAAGGGGGTTCTGCAGTTGGATTGCCCCCCCCAATCCTCCCTTAAGAACGGTGGTGTTTTTTCTCCCCTCCTTTCGTATGACCATGTACCAAACGGGTTTCTCTATGAATCAGGGACGTTCTTGAAGCTTCTCGGTGGGGTGGGGGGCAAACGGGGTATGATCATTCTTTGTTTCAAAGGAAGAAACCCCTGACAATAAATGCCAAACTTTCTGGTTACTAAACTTGCCTGTCGTTCTCTTTCTTCCACCCAGAAGACACCATTTCCAAATGCAAGCCCTCTTTCTTTCCTCTTTCCCTCCCTCCCTCTGGCCCTGGGGCCCGACTGCCTGGGTTTCATAAAAGGGTTCAGGAGGAAACACAGGGCCCTTTCGGACAAGCCGGGCATGCGCACGTCCCAGGGTTCATCCAGGTTCCCTCCGAGGGTCAGGGCCGAAGTCGCTTAGGGCTTGAAAGAGCAAGGTCAATGCAAGAGGGAGTTGTGCCCAGAGAGCAGCTGGCAAGGAGCGCCAGGCTGTCTCAACAAGCGTTGCCAATCCGTGCCCCTTGCCCTGTGGCGGCCTGGCTGCCAGCTCAGGAAGGTCCTCTCTGTATCCCCCCTGCGAAACAAGGTGAGGCCGTTTGGGTGGGCAGAGGCCGATGCCCAGGGCGGAGTGATAGCCCCCTAGCCTGGCATCAAGGGCCAGGGGCCCATCAGGCAGGCCAGAAGGGTGCCACGGCCAATGGGATCCAAAGCTGCCAAAGGGCTCCGCTTATTTCCTAGCCTTGCACCCTCTTTCCTGCAGGAGTGCGCGCCCCCTGCGAGGTAGGCCGGCCTGGCCCCAAACCCACCCAGCGAAGCCTGTGCCTAAAGGGGCCCCCATCCACTGCATGCCCCTCCAGCTGGAACCACCGCAGCCCAGGGGGGCACGCCGTAGGCTTGCAGCGGTGCTACCGCGCCGCTCGGCACGGCTCCCGCGCGAGTGATGGGAGTTGTAGTCCTGCCCTCGCCTCCCCCCGCTCCTTGCGCAACCTTTCCCTTTTCGTCCCGCGGCCGGGGGGGGAGTGGCGCCAGAGCGTCCTCTGATTGGTGCTCCGTGGGCGCCTCCGGATTGGCTGC